AAATATAAAATGCTCATAATTTTCTGATTCAACACGAATTTGACACGACATTACTCGTTGTCACCCCTAATATTAGACAAAAAAAAATTTTTAAAAAAATTATTTATTTTTATTTTCCATCCATTAAATCAAACACAAAGGAAGGAAAATATTTCATTTCTATTTTTCATCCTTGAAGAATAAAAAGTGTATCCCTCTTATTTTTCATCCTTCCTACCAAACGGAGCATAAGAGATAAGATCAAACTTCAACAGTCTCCGTTGAGTCAAACTCTTCAAGCTTGATCATCTCCATCATCTGTTTTAGCTTCATGAAAGAATTTAATTTAAGTGGCTTGTTAAAAATATCTGCAATCTGATCCTATGATCGACAATACAAGATCTTAATCTCACTATCAATAACCAAATCACGAATATAATGATACTTCACATGATTATGGTTGGTCCTCTCATGAAAAATAAGATTTTTTGACAAAACAATCGCTGACTTATTATTACAAAAAAACTTTGAAGGAATTTTTTGTGCATGCTGCTGCAAAAATCTAAGCATACAACGCAACTACACTACTTGTGTAGCTGGCACTACTGATGGATGTATTATACTCTGCTTCAGCGGTAGATAAGACAATGACTTGTTGTTTCTTTAAAGAGGAGAAAAAAATTCTTGAATCGAGTTGAAAATAATACTCCGAAGTACTTTTAACTTTTTTTCACATCACCTCCCCAATCCCTGTTTGTATACCCTATACGTTCATAAGAACTAGTGGGAGAATAAAGAATATGATCACTCTAGATACCTTTTAACATACCTCAATCCTTTTTGTTGTTTGCAAGTGGAATTGACGTGAGACTCCATGTATCAATTGATGAGGTTAACTCCAAAAATAATATCAGGTCTAGTGGAAGTTAAATTACGTAATCTTTCACCAACAGTTTGAAATATGTGGGATTCACCAACTTACAATTCTCATCTTTACCAAATTTTAATCTTTTTTTTCAACCAAAGTCAAAATATGAATTGTTTTGAACTGTTTAAGAATATCCCTTGTATATTTTTGTTGGGTAATAAAAATTCTATTGTTTGTTTGTATCACTTCAATCCCAAGAAAATAAGACATTAGACATATATTAGTCCTCTTAAATTGAAAAATCATTGTCTTCATGAATTTCTCAATTAATTTCAAATTATTTCTTGTGAAAATAGGATAATCCACATAAAACCACACAATAATAATATCTGCATGGGAATTAGTTTTGACATACAAAGTGTGTTCATAGGGATATCTCCGAAAATAATTCTCTACAAAATAAGAATCAATCCGAGTGTACCAATCTCTAAGGGTTTATTTAAGCTCATATAAAGTCTTTTTCAACTTATAGACTTCGTTTTCTCTCCTTTATTCGTATAACCAACAGGCTGCTTAAGATAAACTTCCTCCTCACGGATACCGTTCAGGAAAATAGATTTCACATTCATTTAAAATATTTTTTAAAAATTATTAGCAGTAAGAGAAATAATCATACGATTAGCATCAAGCCCACCAACAGGAGCAAAAACCTCAAGATAATCAATTTCTATTTCTGTTTGTAACTCTTGGCTACTAACCTTGCTTTGAAATGATCTATCTCTCCATTTGGCTAATACTTGGTCTTGTACACCCATTTAACTCCAATAACATTTTTTCTCTCGGGAAAAGAAATGAGCTCCTATGTATAATTTTTCTCAATGATATGAATTTCTTCATGCATTGCTTTCACTCAATGCTTCTCTCTGCATGCATCACTAAAAGAAACATGATCGCAATCTGCATATAAAACAAATATTACCAAGTCCTCATCTAAAGAATCAGTATTAGTGTCAATCACATAATCTTCTAATCCAGTTGGCATGTATCGTATAAGTTATGAACGCCTGAATGACTCTGGCTGCAAGGATTGAAAAACTAAAGACTGTTTAACTGGTTGATCACCAATTGAATCATCAACATCAAAAGAAACAAGAGTGGCTAGTTTGTCTTCCTCTTGGGACAAATCCCAAATACACTATTCATCAAAAGTGACATCCTTGCAAAAAATTACTTTTTCTGTGATGGAATTATAAAATTTGTGCCCCTTTGTAACATAACTGTAACTTGAGCCATGTGCTCAAGTTTTTTTTTTTGGTGAATTAGGAACATGAGCATAGGTATTACAACCAAACACCCTCAAATGTTGAATACCATGCTTCTAACCACTCCAAATCTCATAGGGAATTTTTTCCTAAAATTCAAGGGTCCTTTTCAAAATATAAACAACACAAGCAATAGTTTTTGCTCAAAAATTTTTAGGCATATTTTTAGATTTCATCATGCATTTAACCATATCCATAATAATTCTATTTTTTCTCTCTGTCATACCATTTTACTAAGAAGTATACCTGACTGTCAACTGATGTTTAATACCATGATTTCTCAAAAAAATCATCACAAACCATATATCTTGACCTCTCCAAAAAGCTTTAATTTTTCTCTCATTCTGCCTTTTAACATTAAGTCTTAAAATACTTAAATGTATCACATATATCAAATTTAATAAAATACCTACTCACATCATTAGAAGGAACTTCAACTAAACACAAATTAAAGTGAACCAACTCAAGGGGTCTTTTGCCTACCAAGTTTGTTTATCGAAAAAATGGTCCCTATGTTTTTTCCTAAAACACAAGTATCAAACTTGACTAGAAATATTAATAGCAAGCAAACAAAAAACTAAATTTTTTTTCTAGCAAGAAAATTTAAACTATGAAAATTTACATGTCTAAACTGCATATGTCATAACCAATTTTCACTAGAAATCTCATAATTAAAGCAAGATAAATTCTGACAATGGGAGCCATATTTATTTTGCTATTTGTCCTCTACGCTTGTCATCAATTGTACAAACACCTTTCCCTTTTTTTTCACCAGATTTGTTTGCCACGTACCTTGATTATTTGAATTTTGATATTTTTGATTTGATTAAGATTTGTTATGGGACTGATCATTCTCCTTCTTATAACTTATCTGTGTCTACGGGGGCTTCTTCTCCTAAAATTTATGTCTTTTCATTCAATCTTTGTTCATGGGCTTCTAGGAAACCCATCAACTCATCAACTGTCAGGGAATTAAGATCATTTAACTCCATGATAACAGTGACAATATACTCAAACTTCATTGACAAAGTCCGAAGAATTTTCTCCATAACTTGGAAATTCTTCACATACTCACTGTTCACTCTCGTGTGGTTGACAATAACCAATGTCTGCGAAAAATAATCTGATATATTCTCTAATTTTTCTATCTTAAGAAACTCAAATTGCCTACACAGGGTTTACAACCAAACCTTTTTCATTTTGTCTTGTCCAATATAAAATTTGATCAAGACATCTTATGTCGTCTTTGTCGTCGAAACTTGAGCAATTTTATTATAAATTGACGAATTAATTGCTCCATAGATGTACATCAGTGATCTACTATCTGTCTTTCGATTACTTACCAATTCATTTTTTTTGGGTTTTTGTGTGAGTTGTTAAATCTCTGGGGTTTGTGAATCCGTTTGTTACAATATCTAAAAAATTCATGAATTTGGAGAACAATTCTATCTATGTTCTCTAATGTTAAAAATTTGACCTCTTATCAAATTTTTCAATCGGACATTGAACAAACTCATTTCTATTTGCCATATAAGAAAATTGGCTCTAATATTATATATAGGATCTCAAAATAACATCAAGCACTCAAATATCTTTCACACACACAAAATAATTAATCAAGAAAATTATGAACTAAAAAAAAGAAAAAAAAAACAACAAAGGAAGAAGAAGAGGTCGAGGGCTTACGAGAAATAAAGAAAATCAAACTTCATAAATCAAAGTTCTGACCTTGCAATAATATAAAGACAGTCTTTATAAAGAAAGCATTAACTAATTCTAATTCTATTAAAATTTTAATAAAAGATATAAAAGTTGACTAGAATATTTTATAAAGGTTAAAATTCTTGAACTCATTAAAACTCTAACTATAAACTAATACTAAATAAATAAATAATAATATACTTTTGGATCAAATGCTAACACTTCACAATTATCTTGATATTGAAATTGAAATATATTTTTATCATTTTTTTTATAAAGTAGATTTTTCTCAAAGATTGTTCGCATAAATAGCCGGTTTTTCCATTTGATTAATTAGGGTACGACTATAAACATTAAAGATTAGAAATAAATAATTAGTAATGTATAATTATTTGATTCCTTAATATTTCGTAAAATAGCTTAAACATAATCAATTTTTAACAATTGGAGCGATTGTGGTTTACGTGCCGGTGAGAGAGCGTGGTGTTTGTATACATAAATTGGAAGAGTGGGTGAGAATGGGATCTCATTCCGGAGTGGAGTTGACGCCGGGATGAATAGTAAACATGCCATGTCCAGGGGGCCACCACGTGAATACTAGCGTCCTCTCTCTAGGATTCTCTGCCTCACAGGTCAGAATGACTCTCTCTCTCTCTCTCTCTCTCTCTCTCTCTCCTCTTCACCAAATAAGTAATAACAGTCTCTTTCTCTCTCAAGAGAGTAGTGTCAGTCTTTCGTCCATCCATATAGGACTTCTTTTGGAGGTCCCATCATGGTCCTTCGAACTATTCTCTCTCTTCATTTCTCCCCCGAAAACGCTCTCCTTCTCACATAAAAAAGGGTAGAAGAATACACTGGATTGGGAGACCCAAAATCGGAAGTAAGAGAGAAAATCTTCTTTTACATGTGATCAGGAAATCCAATCCACACCACCATATACGGCACTCACAGCAGAACAGTCGCAAACGCTCAACACAGAGAGAGAGAGAGAGAGAGCGCCATAATTATAGAATCATGTTGTGCAGAAGACATCACTCGGGAGACCAGTTGTTCAATAAAGGTAACAACAATTGTTGATCATCATTCTAAAAGAAGCAAACAGAAGATTCAAGCTACTCAGTAGGGCGCTAATGGATTCAGCATCAGGAGCCGGAGCACCCGACCCGAATGGAGGAGAGGGTTCATCATCGGCGACTGGTGGTGGAGGTAGAGGAGGCGCCGCAGATGGTGGTGGGTCAACATCAACACCACCGAGTCGGTACGAGTCACAGAAGCGTCGAGACTGGAACACTTTCTTGCAGTACCTGAAGAACCACAAGCCACCGTTGACATTAGCCCGTTGCAGCGGAGCTCACGTGCTCGAATTCCTCAAGTATCTTGACCAGTTCGGGAAGACGAAGGTGCACGTGAACGGGTGCCCCTACTTCGGGCACCCAAACCCTCCGGCACCATGTGCGTGCCCTTTGAAACAAGCTTGGGGCAGCCTCGACGCGCTCATCGGACGTCTCAGAGCCGCCTACGAAGAGAACGGTGGTAAACCTGAGTCGAACCCTTTTGGTGCGAAAGCGGTGAGGATATATTTGAGGGAAGTGAGAGAAAATCAGGCCAAAGCTAGAGGGATACCCTATGAGAAGAAGAAGCGGAAAAGACCCACCGCCACGGGGGCGAATGTATCCGTAGCGGTGGCTACTAGTACTTCTCAAGTTGGTGATGGAAGTAATAGTGGTGGAGGTGAAGCTATTGGTGGTGGTGCTACGGTGGCTCCTCCTGCTACTACAACAGTATAGTTTTTTTACTCATTTTTATTCCCTTTTAATAGCTATATTTAAAATGTGATTATGAGCTATATAACTTTCGATCACTCACTCAAAACCATTCCAAAAGTTCTAAAACGAAGAGATTAATGCGTCAGTCAATGCAATGCCGAGTATTATTTCTTTATCTCTGTAACTGCAATATTAATTCTTCCCTCTCACACCGTCGACCGGTGAAATAAATTCCGGCGTTCTTCTTCTTCGTCCTTTTTGTATCCTTCATCAGTTCGTTCCTTCCTTTTTCCTGTCGGTTTAGTATTACCCATTTGTTAATGGCTTACTCTTCTGAATTAATGTTTTTTTTATACTGGCCTAAGATTCAGAGGTATGCACAGCCAAAGAATTCAGTATTACGGAACTTCCCTGAAATTCTTATTAATAAATCAATCAACCTTGGAATAGTCAAAGTCTATACCAATTTCAGGAAATTCCCAGGACTATAAATTATATATGCTCATATAGTTATAGATTTTTTCCTTCTAATGATTCTTCTTCATTCCAATTCAGACCTGCTAATTATTCTCCCGATCTGAGAAGAACATTTTTTCACCAAAAGATTAGTTCAATAATACCACTCAATAATAGTAATTAGCACAATACTTCTTTGGAACTCCCCGCTATTTGAATATGGAAAATCATAATAAGAATGATACGGCTATAGCTCCGATGCCTCTCTTCACCTCTCGTTGCATTGCATGTCATCAATTAATAATAATAATTCAGTGCTTTTCAAGATAAGTCGCTTTAATTTTCGTCAAGATTCGGAAATTGATTGCAATCTGATCAGAGTTTGAATAACACTTGTATAAGTCACTCTAGGATATCTAGGAAGTGTCCATGTTCGGATTCTTTACAACTGTTATTATCCGGCCCCCTTGTAGTTTTAAGAGGCTGGGCGGATTTCCCTATGATTTGCAGTCTGTTTTAATGCACACGTGGTCCTCCTATATATGCACATTCACACCCAGTTTCAGGTGCCTCCTGCTCTTTATATATCCTGATCTATGATTTTATTTTCAGGTTTTGAAAACTTTGGGTCCTCAGATTGGCTTTCATGAATTTTAGTTTTTGGGTTTTTGTGGGATTAGGATGGAACTTATGTTATCCACTTACCCCCCCTCTCTCTCTCTCTGACACACACACACACACACAGAGTGGTGGAGAGAGGATGAAAAGAACGTTTCTTTCTGGGTGATAAACAAGTAACAACTAAAGAAAGGATAGTATAGGTTACAAGCATCAATGAGAGAGGAAAAATAATCCTGATGATTGCTGCTCTTAAATTTTTTAAATGGATTAAACACTACCTCAGCCTGAAAAGGACCAGTAGCCAACCCTTGCATACATTTTTTTTTCCCCCTTTTTTTTAGTGCTTTGATTCATGATTTAGTGGATATAGCTTAAATTATTATATCCTTGTTTATGATAAACACAGACCCACCAATAATCACACCCCCAAACAAACCCTGCAAACTCATCTGATCAGAACAAGAAGTTTATAATACCCATTGGGAAATAAATCATACCTCATTTATTGCTGCTATATATACTCAAGTTGATGTAAAGTAATATCTGCCGCTGTTCTCACTGTTTGTTCTAATGATCTGCGGTTCTTCACTTCTGACTTTTATTTTTGCTATTTAAGAATGTTTGGTCGTTCGTTGTGTGATGGAAAGAACATTTTTTTCTTGAGAATAAAATGCTTAACGGGTAAACCTGTATATTAATTGTTTATAGGTAACCAATTCAAATTTGATAAGTACACAAATTTATTAGAATTTGTCAGTATTAGTTTGTGTGTTTGGTGGACCCTAACTGTTCATTTTGGAGGAAAAATGCCATGTTCTCATTTTTAGCCCCTTTTTACTTCTGCCTAACCTGTTCAAAAAAAAAAAAAACTAAAAAAAAACTTTCTACCTCAAATTTTTAAAGTGCAACAGCAAGATGTATAAGAATATCAATGCTATTTTAACTTAATTTATTGATATAATCACTTGTAATTATTAAATTGACATTAAATTTCACTATTTGTTGGGACTAACTACCAAGCAGTGATTGTAATGAATTAGATTTCCATAATATCATTTACAGTAATGCTGACTAAATTTTAGGACCAAATATCCATCTCAAATGACATGGTAGTTTACTTGGATTTCTTTATTTGGTGTCATATCATTTGGGCCCCAATAAAAACTCCAAATAACAGATTGTCATGTTATTTGGGATGGATATTTGGTCAATAAATTTGGTCAGTATAGCATTACTCTATTATTTTAATAAGAATAATAATATTATTTAGACCTAATTTATCACAATTTTGAGAATGTTTGTGAGCTCCAATAAGTACCGGGGTCTATTATTAATCCAATGACAATAGAGTGAATAATGTTATTTGGAGCCCTAATATTTATTATTGACAAAATTTGTTGACTTAAATCATTACAATCGTTGAATTAAGTGTGGACCTCAATAAATACTAGGGGTTTTTGTCAATCCAATGATTAGGTCCAAGTAACGTTGCTCAATTCAACAGTTATAAAAAATTAAGTCAATAATTAAATTAGGTCTAAGTAATATTACTCATAAAATTATACATTCTAAATGATTTACCAAATGTTATATATCAAATGATGTCAAAATTCTAAGTATTGATTATGTAGTGGAAGTGAGTGGAACCTACTCATCCAATTAACTATACTAATTTAGTATATAAAATTTGATAAACAATTAGGCAGCATATGGATGCTCACAAAATAATAACGATCTCATTTTGTTCTTGATAAAGTATAGAGCCTTCCTTATATTGGAATAAAATTAAAAAGTCAAATAAAGGGTTCAAGTCATTCATAATAAAAAATAAACTTTACAAATAAAATTCATGTTTTGTTATATCATTTATTAAAATATAATCAAAAATAAAAATTTAATTTTTTTCTTAAAAAATCAAAATTACGATACAATTATAATATCCATTGAAATTCAATTAAAAAATTAAATAAGGGATCAAACTGCAATTGATACAATATCTTCTAACTCTAACTAGGGTAATTTTGTAGTTTAATTTGGTCGTTTAAATGACCAAATTAAATTCTAATAAATAGTATAATTATATACTAATTATAAATTTTTTAAGAAAAAATTATATTTTTATTTTTGATTTTATCTTATTAAATGTCATAATAGAACATAAATTTTGGTTATAAAATTTAAAATATTTGATATTTGATTAGAGTGATATTTGGTCTAAATATAACATTTTAAACTTGAGCAGTCTAAGTATTACATGTTTACAAACTTAAGAGAGTTTGAGTATAATTTATTAACGGACATTGATGACAGGGGGTCTAAGTATCACGCGCGTACAAACTTTAGAGGGTCTATGTATAATATTTCAAATATCAGGGGTCTGAATGATTAAGTGATAAATTTCACGGTGTCGGACTATAATTCATTCTCCCATAATTGATTAATTTATAGTTATTAATTTTAAAAATAATATAAAATATTTATTATTTACCTAAATTTTTTTTTATATATCTTGCGTTTTTATTGAATGAAAAGTGAATGCCTGGTATGGGCATGGCTGGACCCATAACGCATTATCTTGATAAAACCCTGAATTGATGTTTGATCCTATTCCACCTGATAAATAAATAAAAGATTAGATATTTAAAAAAAAATAAAAAAGAATGCCATTTCTTCAAATGTTTAGTAATCCCTCCATGGGTTTGAATGCTTAAAAATACTTAGATATGATAAAAAAATGTTCTTCTCGCTTGAAGTATTAAGCAAAATTAACTGGTAGAGATAATTTTATTTTCAATTTCGAAATAATTAATTATGAAACTTAATCCATAACATATTACTAAGAATAATAAATAGAGACTAGATCTAGTAGAGACGTTGTTTCTCAAAATAAGGTCATTTCACACTAAGACGATATGATTCTATTTACTAATATAATATAATTTTAATATGAAACAGTATCGTTTTAAGGAACATCATCCCCGAAGTTCCTCAACTAACAGCGGATGATCCGAATCCCTAACGGTGTTGTTGAATCTATACGTTGCAATAGCAAAAGTGGGGAAGGAAAACTGTGGGCGTTTTAGAGCAGATGACAGATGAAAATCTTGAGAAAGGGAAAAAAAGCATAATAATTTTCTTGTGTTTTTGTCGTTACGTAAGAGTTCATATAGTTCTGGGATTTAAGCTGTCCCGTAGCATACACTTCATTTAAGAGACGGATAGAGATTGGGTCGTGGGTGAATGCTTTTAAATTGAAACCACCTGTACCCATTCACTAGCCTTTGTCGACAGCTCCGGCACACTTGTGATTCAAATCTGGTTGGATATATATATATATATATATATATATATATATATATATATATAGAGAGAGAGAGAGAGAGAGAGAGAGGGCACCATATGTACGTCTTTGATTAACAAAGAAACATCTCTTAGCGTGGCTAATTACCACCCTAATCATGCAAATCAGTTTTTCAACGAGTGTGACTTCATTTTAACGAAAAATAGGTATGGCAATGTCTTGAGGTCAAATAATCGAGGATTTATTCTTCACTAATATCATAGTTTCGACGTAGATGATTTACCTTTGACCAAATTAGAGACGGAATTAGTTAAAGTGCGTGTAAACTAACCGGAACACCCTGAAAGTTGAATAAAAAAAAATATGTATGACACAATTTAACAAGTTTGTGTTATAAATAAATTAATTCATAATCGTTTAATTATTAGACGAATATAAAATCTACTAAATACAATTTATACACGATATACAAATGAGTCGGCATTAATTAAGTAAAAATTTATACAACATAAATTACCTAAAACTGTATAAACACAAGTGCAATGTTCCTTTAACTTCAAAAGTTGATTCCGTTTCTTGATTCTAATAATCATTGTCGTTAATTTAACCGTAAATTCTAAAATTTATTAAGACTTAGTACTTA